AATCTCACCTCTCGTATGAGCGTTTCTCCACGAAGCAATCGTACTGGTGTGTGGCGAGCATGCTTTCCGGGATGTCTATGCTCCGGGATGTGTATCTCCCCAGGATTAAAGCCCTAGACGATTGGACATTGACGCAGTATAGTTGATCTCTCGTATCAGATGCAGAAGAGTAGAATCTTTGCATGTTTACAACTACGCCGGGAGGAGAACTGCGAACTCTCTTCGAATTCGACTAGCTAAAGCATGAGGAATCGTCCGTTGTAATGCTTGAGCTCGACTACTTAATAGTAAGAATAGTCGCGTTCGTTGAGCCTAGAGCTTCGATAAATTTTTGATCGGCCTGTGCATCGTTCTTGTCAATTAACTTTAAGAAATGAATAAGATAACATAAGTTAAAATAAGATAGTATACAAAAAGAAACACTACGTATTCTTTTTTTCTATTCTTGTTTTGCCAAATTCATTACTCATGGTTCGACTCCCAAGAAACATCAAATCAATTTTTTAATTATTAGAGTTACAAATCAAAATAAAATTATTTTTTATTTTTTTTTGATGTTTAATTGTGTTTGTTGAGTTATGGAGTCTCTAATCAGGCCTAACGGCTAGCATTTAACGCATGCTTTCGTGAGAAAATATTTTTACAATTAGTAAAAATTATTAAGTAATAATTGATATCAATCGTTTTTTTTAATAGAATATCTTTTTTATAAAATTAAAATTTAACGAAGGTGAGTATAGACCAATAGGATTACGATTGTGAGAACAAAATGGACTTTCTATCTAATCTCTCATGATCGATAATCTTTCTTACATTCGACTGCAACTAAAGTCAATTTCTTACGACTTGAGACTAAACTCAGGTAGCAATTTAGGAAGACCAAACATTCAAAAGAAATATAATGCTTTTAAGAAGATGAGCACTTAAGAATTGTATTATTAATTACCTCTATAGAGGATCCACGAAATGACAATCAACACACGAATTTTTACAAAAATTATCAAGCCGGAAAGCGTTCGTCAGAATTGTGAATATAGTCACATTTCACGCAAAAGTCCACATAACTTTATTTCCGTTGTTTTGGCGTGAAAGATGCAATCTTCCTGTGATGCACAAAAAAACGCGAAGATTAAAAAAAAAAAAAAGTAACAGGGTGCAAGTTAAAAGGTTCGAGAACAATCGTCTATACGCGATCGGGTATGTTCCACGAGTTTCCCGCGCCGCATCCTCGACGAGCTGCTGAGCGATACCCGCTCGCGTATTTTTGGCACAAGGATCCCAGGTAGTTTGCCCGGGGAAGGTACGTTCCAAAGAGAGCCCCGGAACTCACTTGACGTGTCAACGAGCGTGGGCACGTCGCACGTCACAGGAACTACGGCCGGCAGAGAAGCGGTGTGAAGCTGCACCACGCGGACCGCGAGATGCCGACGCACAAGATATCAATTGGAGAGCGAGCCGCTTTCTTTGAAGGAAGCCGCGTGTGCCACCCTCTGACGCGACGAGCCAGGGATGACGAGCCGGGCCGGCGCGCGAGGAACAGAACGTCCGCCCTTTACTCCGGCTCGCTCTACCTCTGAATCACCCACGTCGCCCACGCATCACAATGCCGGGGGCTCTGCGTAGGTGACTTCTCACGAACCCCTTCCCCGGGCAGCACCATGCGGTTTCCTCGCTGTACGCCTGCGCCCGGAAACCATGAATGGAAGCGCCCGCTCAATGCTGGGCGGCCTTTTATTTGCTCGCTCACGGGAGCACTGCGGCATCTCACCCGTTCCCACCCCGCAACGACGAAGGCGACGACGACGACGACGACGATGACCTTCAGCCAGGGTCGATCGGGCAAGTCAGGTCTCATCCCGAGGAACAGGTGTTGCGTTGGAGCCGCGCAGAAGCGCGACGCGACCAGACGCGGTCAATCCTCTCACGCGAATCACGTCATGGATCGTTAATCATCAATGAATCTTTAATTGGCACGAATCTTTAATGACCTCGCTGCGATAAAATAGATGTGGTTAATTTATGTATGATATACAAGAGCAGAAGGCCAAGCCAACAATAAAATCAGTATTACGTCACTGTAAAAACCCTATACTGTAAGATGTTAGATACCAAAGGAGCAATTATAACTCAATCCGTTGAGTTAAATAACATTTTATTATTTTTACTCTCATGTCGAAATGTATGAAAAATCAACCTATTTCTGTATAGTTATTTAAATAGTATCAATATTCAGTAAATAAACTAAATGAGTCAAATTTAACAAAATTTATTGAATAAAATTGTTTTAGTTAAATTATCGACATACTGCGTAGGAGTAGCGACGACCTACATAAATAATTAAAAATGATTTAATTTGGATATATTCTGACATTTATGAATTTAACAGTAATAACAATATAACATTTTTAAATGATCCGAATGAACAGAATATTAAATTATTGATGATTTAATAATAATAAAGGTATTGAATTTTTGATACACAAAATTTCCCATCCAACACTGTACCTAAAATTCTCTATACTATTTCGACGAATAAGATTGGAAACTTTTTGATTTATTATATCATCAAATATTTAAGATTCTGAAGATTAGGTTCATGTAATTTTCTCCCCAAGTGGGAACACGAAAAGTGAACATTTTTATCATGGAAAGTGACGAAAAAGTTTTTCACTCCTGGCGTTTCCGCCTGAGGGAGAATATTACATAATCGCAACCCTGATTTAATATAGAAAAAATCCGCATTTGTGAAGTATCGCGCGATATATCGAGCAGTCCAAATCGTGATCTACATTCTATCGACGTCTAATCTTTTGCTGCGACTTATCGTTCGTCTACTCTCTGTTCCATTTTGTATAAGTAAATGCGAATAAAAATTCTAAGAAAGGGAATCGCACGTATCATTTTTCGTTGTCGAAATCACCCTATATTTGCGCGACGCCGGGGAAACGTTGAACGGGGGATGCTAAGAATTAGCGAACGCAACTTTATGAATGGGCTGCTTGGGCGTGAGGGAATGAGCGGTGGGGGCAGCCATGCCGCTTTAACGATCGAGAACACCCCCACTCCTGTCTCATTCCGTCTCCTTTCCTCTGGCTTGTTAACGAGTCTTCTTCCTCGATTCACCCCCTCGCCATCCCCTTTCTGTGCGCGAACCCATTCTCTTCCTCCCTCGTCGGTTACGCGCGCACACGTGCGACCGTGCAACTGTGTCGGTTACGTACTGGCCGTTCATAGATGACGGTGCACGGGTGTGTGCAATTCACGTGTGTAAATCTCTATGGGGACGAGTTGCGCGTGTCCGCGACACTCTTCACATAACAACACCAGCAAAAATGGAATGAGCAATGGGTTAGTCATCACCGAGCATTTCAAATAACTATTGAAATTGGACACTTGCACAGCCAAACCGGTATACACTTGTAGCGGAATATATCGAATTTCGTTTGATATTGAAGAAGTTTGAAATCGAAGCCGTATTGCACGGGGCACAAGAGGGAGAGAAAATGTCATTAGGACTTTACATTTCCATTCTCCATATATTTTACCCTTTTAATGATGAACAGCAAGGGTGAATGATACCTGCGTGATACTCAGGTGTAAATCTGTTTTAACGAATACAATATGCGAAAATTAAATTTTGAGTATGACACAAGTTTCAATTACATGCAGTTACGAGATACGTGTGAGATGAAGAATATTTTGTGGATTGTTAGTAACTGAAATATTAATTATTCGATTTATTTTTAATGATCAAGTTACTTGAACAAGATCAATTATTTACCGAAAAAAAGTAATGTCCCACTTGAACTTCTCCCGTTACAACTAAATTATAGTTTAATCCCTCGAGACGCTTACGTAAAAAAAAAGTGCGAACAATCCGCTGCGAAAATTAAATAGATTGTTAATTTTTCTAAATTATAGAAAATATATTATATATATTTTCCTCCCCCAGAATTACAGGAAACAAAAATTCTAAAAAATAGTTTAATAGATTCGCGCACGAAATACAATATGTATCCATAGTGCGTACAACATCCAGTATATATATACATATTCTATATCGTACTTTAACACGAAAGATAAAATTAAGCGATTCTGATATCGTTAAATTTAATTGAATTCCGCTTCGATTGCTAGGATACGATAATTTGGAGAAACTTGAGTTTCCTCACCATTGATCGCTCCGGGAACAGCGAGCATCGTAGTTCAGAAGGATGAAAATCGCCAGGTGTGGGTGGTTGGAACATCGATGAACGAATATCCCCACCAAACTATCCGGCGCTGAAAGTAGTGTGGGAGTTTCCAAGGTCATCGCAAGAGCAAAACATAGTACGACGCCTCCGTCGAGACGCCCGCGCACAAAGCGTAGGCGTGAATTGTATATGTATACAAACCGTCTACATAAGACGTTTCAAATAGTTGATAGCATTTAATATGCGTTTTACTGTTATATTGTTAATTGAAGCATAGCTGAAACAAAGGTATCTTTTGCCGTGCAAATAATTTCGATAGCAATTTTGTAAAGCTGATTATCAATTAATCTTGATTCAAAATATTTTTATTGAAAAATACAAAAGGCATACCTTTTTAAATTCTAGTCATCGCAAATTTAATCTTCATACCGAAAAAAATTTCAATAATATAATATAAAGCAAAACTAAATTTAGAATATTGAATGGAAATACTCTACGTGCAAGAAAGTACTATAAATTTTAAAATATATGTACAATGCCTGTTATTTTACTAAAGGCAAAAATACCAATTTAGAAAACAGAGGTTCAAAGATAAAAAATATTTATATATTCGTAAATAATTTTTTATACTTAGGTAGTACAGAATATTTTTCATTATTATTAATATGTCTCAAAAAATAAAAATTGCGATAAAAAAAATATTCTAACATAATTTCTCATAAGATTTATAGTACCAATGGATTATTAGTTATTACGTTTTCATAATATTACCATTCTAAAGAATGTATAACGCAAAAGTAAATATTTTTAACAAACACGAATGGAATTTTTTCCTGTTACAATCACAACACCATCATCCTGCAACTCTTTCAGAGCATCCTCAAACATCTCGCGCGTCACCAACTAAAAAATAAAGTGCAAAATTGAACGAACATTTTCTGCAACATATATTAAATAATAGAATAATAACAATGTAAATAAATAACAAACGATGCATGGATAAATAAATAAACTTACCGTGCTAGATGATTCTTTCAATTCCGTGAAGATCTTCTGATAATTTAATGTCGGTACTTTATCCTTACTCTTGATAAGCTTTTTCAACGTCTCTACTAGCTCTTGCCTTCGTTTTCTCGCTGCTAATGACATACCAGTCGTCAAGATACTAATATCGATTTTACCACTCAGTGGATCGATAGCAGATTGTTTCAATGCCTCACGATGTAATCTGATAATTAAGAATTGTGTATTAAATATTTATTTCTAATATTTATTTTATTTTTTAACATTTATTAACTACATTTTGTCCGTTCTCACCTCCAAGCTTCCTCGACATCCATGATCTCCACTACATTGCTGAATCGCATCTTAGCGTGCGCTTCGGCGAGTCTTATCAGCGATTCCAATTGTCTCGGGTAAGCCGTAATTTGTCCGTGACCGCTGCCTACTCTACGCATATCGACGTAAGCTTGGATCAATCTTTGTTGGCTCTCCTCATTAAGAGAAGGTTGTACGTGTTCCTTGGCATAAGCTATGTAATCACGCAGAATACTCATATCCACAATGTCGTCTTCTTCTTCTAAATCAGATTTATAATACAACGATACCAAATGCCTGGCAAGTTTCCTGTCAAATATTTCGTCTTGGGGATCCAACATGAGGAAAATTAAGTCAAAACGTGACATCAATGTGTGTGGCAACATAACGTTCTCTATTACCTAAAAACAAGTGCAACATTTCATAAGATTGCTCTCTCTTTGATCTAAAATATCAGATATATAATTTGATAGATATATTTACTGTCTTATTTTTATTCCACTGCGACTCGCAAGGATTAGCCGCTGCTAGAATACTGGTTCTCGCATTCAACTGACAAATGATACCTGCTTTCGCAATACTCAGTGTTTGTTGTTCCATAACTTCGTGCAGTACCGAGCGTGTACTATCGTTCATTTTATCGAATTCGTCGATGCAACAGATACCGTTATCTGCAAGCACCAGAGCGCCAGTTTGCAATACTAATTGACGGCTTTCCGGATCTTTCGTTACGAAGGCGGTTAAGCCCACAGCGCTGGAACCTGAGAGAAGAATGTAAGATAAGAATAAAAGCTAAAATCAGATTTGAATTATCACTATGAAGAATTATTTACCCTTTCCGCTGCTATACTGTGAGCGCGGTACCAAATTGAAGACAAACTGTAACAGTTGTGATTTACTTGTACCCGGATCCCCGCATAGAAGTATATTAATTTCAGACCGGAAATATTTCTTAGTTCGTTCGTTTTGCTCTTTCTTCGTACCACCGAATAATTGTAGCAATATACCCTTCTTGACATCCTCATTCTCATAGATGCTAGGAGCAATGTGCCGCGCCAATCGTTCATATATGTCCTCCTTTTCTGACAGTAATTTTAACAACTCCACTCTTTCTGGCGGAAATGCATGGCGCTTGCCATCCTCTTGTTCATACAATCTTCATATGCAATAAACCATAACAAAAATTAATAATATAATATATTAATTAATATTAGAACATATGTATGTGTGTATGTATACATAAATCACGATAAAAAATTTTATGAAAATGTAAAATAAAATCAAAATTAGAAACATATAATAATTCTTAGATAACAAAAACTCCTGTACAATTCAAAAATAAACTTGAAAAGAAAAGGGCACTAGGAGTCAAGCGCAGATAACTTTATGCAAACGCTGATGTATATCAACCAAAACTTATTTATTATAATTGTGTTAAATGGGTCGACGTCACACCTTGGGCTGAGATAGTTGGAACTTGTATTGAAATCAGTGGCAACTTCAAATTAAGATTACGATTTATCGTTTTTTCCAGGTGTACTGGACCCGATAAATCGTGTCCGATAAACCTAGTGCCCTTTTCTTTCCAAGTTTATTTTTAAAATTAGAAATGTTTACCGCTTTGAATCTTGTTTTCTAAAGTGAACAACGTCAACGTGTGTCCTGTAGATGGCCCGTACGTTGGTTTGCCGAGGATTAACGCGTATCGGCAAAGCGCGATAGATACCAGTGACAGAAACCCTATCACCTGGTGAAACAGCATCAACTAGATTATGATGTGCAAAAAGTACTACTGTATGAGGAGTTTGACCAGCTGGCATATCATCCGGTGACTCTTGCAACTTGATCATTTGTTTATCGGTGAAATGACTACGATTGTGTACCAAACTGAAGCAGAAATTATTGTTGCAATGAGTGCACACTGTGGGCTCGGCTATGTGACCTCTGTCAATGACCACAGTTGTCGTGAAGGAGCATACAATGCATTTAAAGAATGCCTCACGCATTTCCGGCAAGATATTTGATGTTCTAATAACCATTCCAGTAATTGTAATTAATCGATCTATGTCTTCTGGATTCAGAAGACGCATACTCGTGGTCCTTACAACATTATAAGGACGTACTTGAATGGAATGTTCCAATGCTGCCCCAGGGAATTTTTCAAAAAATATTTCATTCGCAGTTAAATCAAATGCTGGTATAACTTCCTGAGGATACAATACCAACTGATTACAAAGCTGTGAGTCAAAAGCCTCGAGATGAGCACAGTTTATATTTAAATAGGGTTCTTCTAATATATGTATCTCTTCAAGTTTCTGTATGTAGAGCGGTTCTGATAGATTCATGTTTTCAGGTAATTCATCATTCTCTGCTTCTGGATCAATAAAATATGTAATAAATCGTCTAAATTGCTGCTTGATAGAATCCACTATGACACTTGTGCCCCAGATTATCAATTGTGGGCCAGTCTCACCCTCAGACGTCCTATCTCTGTCTTCATCATTCTCTAGTATCTGCCAATAAAATTTGATAATTTACTGATTTTATTTACCTTAATACTGACATATACATTTTAACTTACAGTTTCATGCACGTTAACTTGCCGCACGCGTCTGTCAGATTGGACGTCTGGTCTCTGTTGCATTGGTGTACCCCTGACACCACTACGAGGAGTACGAATCGATGCCAAGGAACTAGGAGTTCCATAATTTAGTGGAGACGACAGTTCTATGTCACTCATACCAGTAGCAAGAGGACTTGTCTGTAGTTGTCGATTCGGAGAAGACAGTGGCATAGATGATAAGCCTTCTGACGACGGTGCAATGGTCTCTTGTGTTTGACGGTTGCCCCATCGTAACGGGGTGTCTATAGGTTGGTTACCTGGTCTTCTCTGAGGTGTACCTATGTGTGACAAAAACAATGTAACAGCTTAAATACAATGCGTAATTTTTTTTTTTAATAAAGATAATTAATGAATATTCTTCAACCTTGTCTGGCAGAGCCGGCAACTCTGGGTGTTCCGGCGACCGAGGGAGTCCTGGAAGTTGGAGTCTGAGGTTGCCGCCTCGGTGTGCGGCTCAGTGAGCCATTCGGTGAACGATCATCTTGAGGGGCAGGAGTCCTCGGCGGTCGAATAGGACTTGACATTGTTGACGGAGATTAAGACTTCACACGGCCAAAAATCATTCAAGCGCTCAAGCAGATGTGAATAACCTCCATAAACCACTCAATTAACTCAATTTCCCGCGCATTCCCGCGAGGCGCGAATTCAAACTTGACGAGAGGACGCGATAGACCTCCATTAGGGCGGGTTCACACCTTGACGGAAAAGCAGTACCCAATCAGAATTCGCGCTGGTAGTTGACTTTCTCATAGTAAAAATTAATTTCCTAATAACGCCATCTCGACCATTTTTCATCGAGTAAGGGGCTTAATTCCTGCAAGAATTGATAAATAATAAAAGATCTAATTTATCATCATTTGAAATATTTGGAATCCGAATAAATTGTAGCTGGGAAAGATACCAAATTTCACCGGCAGATGTCGCTAGGTGTATAAAAAATCGGAGCGCGCAGGCGGTATCCGCGGCTACGTTCAGGCTGTATGATCGCATTTATTGGCGCGTGCATCACCGGAGGGCTAGAGCGAGCGTTTCTGCTACGAGCTCTAAAGGGAAAATCGATGGCTGGGCCGAAGTGTGACGACAACGACGGTGAATTTTCACGGACAAGTCGGGACGCTCACGAGTAAAGCTGGAACGCATCCTCGGCGCGACGACCACGAGGAGATCGAGAGAAATTCAATCTCGCGATCGTAGCGCGGAGCGCGTCCTGCACCCGGGCGACGTTGCATCTTCGCCTCGCACGCTTGGCCGTTCTCTCACCATGGTACCTGAGAACGTCAACGTGCATCGGCGGTCCACTGGCAATCGCAACGTCCACGGCACGAATGTCCAACGGAATCCCCGTGCGATGTATCGGATCAAAGTCTGCAATCCGGACTAAGACGGTCGACGATGACGACGTGCTGGACGGATCAGGTAAGGGTCTTTGATACGCCTTTTGATTTTTGACGCAATTAACGGTATCAGTCTCGAAGTACTTGGTTAATTAACAATGGAAATTGTTTAATTTCCCAAACAACACACTTACGTTCAAAATTAGACACAGTTGTATAATAAATAACATTTAAAAAATCGTATGATAAACATATAGCGTTTAAAAAATAAAATTGATATGTTTATTAAACTATTTTACTATTTAATAAATATTATAAAAAGACGTTTACAAAATGTTTATAATGTTTTTTGTTAAGCATTAAAATCCACTTTAATTGATTTATAATTTCTATATTAAATAATTTTTTAACTATTTTTTTTACTAGTTTAGTAATTTTTTAATTTACTAGTTACGGTAGTTATACTCTTTTTACACGAGACGTGTAAAACGGTTTCAACGGTTTGATAAACACATTCTTAACATCAATAATATCTATTTAATAATTTTTTAAGTTTTTAAAGTGAAAATTATCTGCATAAAGAAGTTTTATAGACTACATTTTTAATTCAAATCTGAGGACGCGGCGATCGTATGAGAACAAGCAGGAAATAGGCAAAGTCGAGTATATTCAGAGAGATATATATATTAATAATAGAAATATGTGACAAATATATATTATAGCGTAAGAATTGGAGCGCTGCTTTCTATTGAGTAAACTGTAATAATTTTAGACAGAGATTTCGATTATATATATATTTTTTGAAAATAGATATTTTGTTTTTATATTTTCTTTCAAAAATATTAGATGAATATTTCATGCCAGGTAAACTAGGCGGGTCTATTTTGAGATTTGATGTGGAAATCGTAATATCGTAATAATAATTTTCACGTTCCTGTGTTTCCTCTATTATACAGGAGATTATTTTGATCAGCACAATTCAATAGAATAGATCGATGAAGCGAAATAAATTTAAACTTGAAGTAGACCTAAAAATATCAATACTTTTTTAATATAATTTCTTGCGTAATTTAATTAATTTGTAATCGTTCGTCTTCGCGATTAATTAAACCTATAGTTATATGTATTATATAATCTATATAATTTTCTTTTTTATTAATTTACCATGTAGATAAAACTTGATTTTAAATACATAGAAAATCCTAATTGCATTCCAGAATGCAGTCAAATGCAAAAAATATTTATTTATGTACGGCGCATCAATCTTTCATATACATACATATCTCAAATTTTTTGTTTGCCTTTCACTACTCGCGGTGCATTAATATTTCACGATTTTTGTACACGTCAACACGTCCGTGATTATACCTACTAATTAGTAAGCGTCGCGTACGCATTTTAATAAGCAGTTCGATGTTGATAGCATAGAAAAAATTACAGTAACATCCGGTTATGTCTGCTTGTGCAATAGATGTTTATTTAATTTTATATTTACACATATAATTATATTTCTGTATCGTATACATATAAAAATATAATTAAATGCTATATATATATAATATTTTTCAAATGTATTTAAAAATATTGTTTGTATGTTATTAATGTATGGTATATTCGTTGAATTATAATTTACATAAAATTATAATTACATTACTATCTCTCTGTTTTTGAAAAATTCAATTTAAGAGTATCGGAAATGCTAACAAATAGGTATTTTGACTGAATAGTAATTATACAAATGTATGTATATACATATATATATATAATGTTATATATTTATATACATTTTATATATATATTTATAAAACATTTTATAAATACGTGTATATACAAAAAAATGTACTAAATTTTAACAAATATTTATTTTAATAATCCTAGCTGAAAAATATTTACTAAATGTAAACATATATAATATTTATTTGATATATATATATATACACACAGAGAGAAACCATTAATTTTTTATTTAACTACTATCATGTTTTGTAAGTATTTTATTTATTTATTGTAAAATAAATATTAAATTACTACTGTTCAAATAATAATATGTATTTATTAAAATTTAGTTATATATAGCTTTCCAGCGTATATATGTATTATTAATGTATCATATATATTTTAATAATATATTATGTATATTTTATATATACATATGTACAAATGTTATATATACATATGTATATATATTACACACACACGCACACATACATGTCTACTTCACGTTTGAATATACGCACACGCATACGCACACGCGATTCTAATTTCGGAACACAGATGCTTCTTCCATGAAGGTTCTCAATGTTACGTCATTTTTCGTAATGTCTGGAAATAATTCATTTGTTACGACACTCGAACAACTTTGTACTCACATAAGCGTTATTTAAGTGTTATATATGTAAAAATAAAAATATTATATCTCACATTTACCGCGTGGTTATGTATGGAATAGGATATCATAAATAGCCTAAAAAAAAAGCTTTCTTGAGTTGATAAATCGACGATTAAATTTAGTATCTAATGTATCGAAGATTATGCATGAGAAGAACATCGAATTATTCATTCGTTTCTATTTACAGTTTCGCGAATAGGAAATAGACATTCTTTTGATCTTTTATAGACTTTTACGACGACAGAAACCACATTTGCAACATTCGCCATATGTCGTGAATTATTTCAATTAATTCAGGAAGATGTAGTACCCAAATAGTTCTGCCGACCGGCGTTGTTTAATGATTAATATAGGCGATATTAATGGTAGATATTTTTTGTTTTTGTTTTGTGACATGAGAAATATGGCGTTGTAATATTGCGGTTTAAATGCTAGCTATCGATAACGATAATTAAAGAATGTTATATCGCAACCTTGCTCCGCATTAAGAAGCCATTATTTATTACCACTTTAAAATATATTTCCATTCATATTACGTCACAGAGAAATATTCGCTGTAATCACAGTGATAATCGTGTACTTTCTTCTACGTCTTTCTCTTTTTCACAATTATTTATATCGTTATCAATTCTAGTACTTAGCTATCTTATTAATCTTGAGATCAGATATGTTCGGAAATACGCTATGACGATTCTCGATCACTTGTCCGGTTTACACAAACGGCCGAGCAATTTCATTAAATTTGCTATAATCTCTTTGAAATCGATATTATTGATATCATTTTTTCATCTGAATCATTCATTAGCATAGTTTATCTTGTGGTCACATAGAGAAGATCATATGTTATCATATAAGAATTACATGAAAATTTCTTATCTCTTTAGCAAATTAGTTAGCATTTTTTATTTATATATTAACATATATTTTATATTTAATTTAGTTATTATAAAATAAAGTTTTTCAATTCTCGTCAAATTAATTGTAAAAAAAAACTGATTTTATTCATGCTTTGTATCTTTCCACATGAATATTTAAGTTTGATAAAAACAATCGTGAGCCCTTACGCAAAATGTCGTTTTATTGCCTAATGTTATGGCATTATTATCAGAGAATCGCTTGTTTTATCGTATGTTCATGTTCAAAGAAAATAATCTCTTTTGCGCGTAATTAGCGAGATTGCTTTTGAATTATTTGCCATTAGAATTCTTGAAAAGGATCAGTTTCGGGGTTGAATGTTTAAATATTCAATATCGAAAGTCAACAAGGATATCATTTCTAAGAGAATATTAATTTCAGGACTAATTATTAGAAGGTTCAATATCGAAAGTCGAAAAGTTGTACAAGCGAAGAGTTTTTTCTGTGCAATTACAAGAAAAAAAGTAAGGTAGTATTAAGGGTAATGCGATTTAACTTTACATCATGCCCTAGCTATCTTTTTTTATTGATGTCATATAAGTAACGTGGATCGATAAGAACGACCCATACTTGTAATCTATGAAATGTAATCTATATGAAAGATATTCACAGTGTGACGTCTTAACTTAACAGAAACGTGACTCGCCGACTTATTGTTAGCAGAAAGGACGTCATAATTTTCGTTCTTTTTTTTCGTTATATTAATCATCTCAAAGTCTCGGCTTTGAATTTAGATAATATAATCATATCGACCAGACCATCGAATATATTAACTCTTTGAACAGCGTATAAAATCATATTTTAACTCCAAAACTTTTTTTTACTGTCCAACTAATTAGTCATCTAGTCAATAGACGTCATTTTGAAATCTTATCCTGTCATTAATGACTGTCAGCGGAAGTCAATTAGTTATAAGCCATCGATGCTTATATAATCATTCATTTGCCTACGTATGCTTTCAGTTTAATTTATTGAGTTCATTATTCATAATGCCAAATTTGTAACTCTATTTATATCCAATTTGAATTACTTTTAATTATTTCTAAGGTCGCCACTGTTCTTACTCAATACGTCGTTAACTTAACTAAACTAAAACAATAGAATTAACAAATTTCACCCAAGCAAATGTATTTTTAACTTAAATTTAGTTCATTATGCATGTTGCTAAGTGCATACGTTAATGTGAACGTTGTTTGCTTTAAAGCTAACCACAGAAATGAATTAATTTACATTTTGACACACATGAAAGTTAAAAATGTTATGCAAGATGTTATTTAACTCAGGAGATTGAGTTGCCATTGCTTCTTTAATATACAGTGTTATGTGCACTAATAAAATATTAAATTCATGTAATACATATCAATGAGCATATAAATATATAAATCTAAACAAAATCGTCGTAGCGATCGTCTTTTCGCATCTGTATATGTTTTTATCTTTTCAAATCTAAGCGATACTTAACATTTGTCAAACTGCAGGATATTTCTAATTGCAGGAAAGTCGTACCGCAAACGCAATCTTATTGCACCATGACGGTTGCATCGAAGGGACAGATATCTCACGGCTGAAATTGCCTTGTGAGATTGCCATTCATCGCGCGGCCTTCGGATACGAAGCTTCCGCGGGAAAAACGATCGCGCGTGGCGTGCACGTTTCAGTACGACGCCAACCGTCGCCGGGTGAGGAACAACTGTTGTCATTAGTCGTACTCCGACGTAACTGGTCGATTAACGAAGCTTACATTCTTCGATAATTGAATCCGACGTGCGACAGGAAAATCAGAGGACAGAAAAGATCGACGCCCTTCTGAGGAAACAGGTGCGTATACGATATATATGAGATATATGCATCTTTCTCGATTTTTTCTCTCTCTGCTTATACGCATGATTCCTGACATACTACGCGTCGTGGATAGCAATCTACTCGTTCTATCGATCCACAATTATATCTATCTGAATACCGAAGGAGATATAAAATGACAGCGTGATTGATAGTTGGGAAATAAAAGGAAAATAGAAGACAAGAACGTGTTGTGTATATACTACGTGGATACTTTCTAAGATCCTTATACCGCATTTCACATGAAGCGGATTGTACAGGAATCTTATAAATAAAATTTGACTTTAATGTATCTCTCTTAAGTCGAAACTTTCTTTATTATATCTGAATAGGAACCTTCAGATTATTACAATATGTATATACATACACACTCCAAGTTTTTCGAAGTGAAATCTCGTTCTTAAAAATTGAAAATTGAACCATATATGATTAAAAGTGCACTTTTCCAAAACTGGCTCGGTTTTTAATTAAAAAATTGGTTTATTATCTGTACAAATTCAGGTTTTAATCCTTAAGAGATTTTACTCTAAAAGTTTTAGAGAGAGTATATTTTACTCATAAATACACACACATAATATATAATAAAATGCAAATATCCTAAAGATTTTTTAGTTTATCCGTTAAAAATATAACGAGAAAGAGAGAGAGAGAGAGAGAGCTTCAAACTTATAGATATATTAAAATCGAATTTTATTTAGAATATTCTAAAGAATAATAAGATAAAAAAATAATTAAATTTTTAACCGGATATTCTGAACGCAAAGGTAATGTAATTTATTTTCAGTCTAAGAATACATGGATATTACGTCATTATTAATTCATGAACATTATTATGTGGAAATGGATTGCGTACCTACATTTTTGCCCTTTAGAGATAATATTGTAGTGACAGAAATGATCGTTTCATAAAAGCAGTAATCCATCATTTGTGTACGACATATTACGCGCAAACATCATTATAATTGTAATCATGATTCAGATTAAGACATTAAAAGAATTATATAGTCTTTATCAAAATTTATTTTGACGAACTCGTTTGACATTTGCATATTTATTTTGATATAATATGATATTTCTGTTCACGTGCGCTTTTCCAAGTAAGATAAGTGACGTAATTATCGATGAATGAAGCATGCAACGGCACTTAATTCGTTAATTATCCACCTGTGAACTTCCTTGAAAGCTCCGCATTTCGTAACAGGAAGCTTGATCTAATAATAATAATAATAATAATAATAATAATAATAATAATAATGAAGTAGGAAACCGAATGTAATCGATATCAAAATTAAATTTATAGACATATCCCAGAGTAATGGAAACAATAATATTAACATTAAATGTAAAATTGGAAATTTAAATTTTGCAATTATCTATAATACAAGTAAAATATAGATATTGATAATTAGTTTATATAATATTATATTTTAAATTAACATTTTATCCTACAATATGATATCGATAGAATACGTAGTGAATAAACGAAGGGGCGTATATTTCGCATATCTATTAAAAAATTTTTAAATCACAATTGTGTCTAATAACATTATCGTAATTTCATTTTCGTTACATAAAACATTACAGAAGTCAACGACCGATGGTATAAATTTATCACCTGGGCGGCGTAATTTAATTGCGCGCGTATTTTAGCTCGCCGAAATTTGGCGGATATTCAGGATGTACTCCATAATTTTCATCGTGAATACTCTTGTTGAAAATTCGGTACGGTTTGAATATTCTCAATACAATTCTCTCTTACGTCAAGATTTTAATTTATGCATCGCTTTAATTATCAGTTGTCTTTTTAAAGTTATCGTAAACATGTTACGCCATCCCAGGTGGGAACAAATGGTGACTTGCAAGAAAAAACCAATCCTAAACATACCGATTTATTATCGTACTTATTTGCATCAAGAAATATAATGATTATCAAATTATCTCCTCTGGCTACAATCTTTATTTATGTTCTTGATAAATATGTACAATTTTAATAATTTAGTGTTGATAGAAATACTCATATGACAGATAAATTACAAAGCAAAACATTTTAGATCTAGATATAAGGAGCTTTAGGAATAAATTTTCAAATAATGACTTAGCATTTACTAAATTAAAGCAACGCAAAAATAGCTCTCAGTAGTAATTATTTTATCATTTTTTAATGATAATATTAAGTAATTCAAAATTTTTTTTAATTGGTAGATAAAGAATAAAACGAACTCACGATAAATATAGATACTATATATGTGTAAAAGGCAATAAAGTTATCAATCTGTTTGTTTGATATGCTTGTTTCTGATTATAGTATCTGAATGTATTCGCAATATGATTAGCGTAAGTACATTATGAATCACGCTGCATCATGCTACGAAATTATGGCGGAAACAATATTCTTTTATTTTGCAATGCAAAACGAATGCAGTTTATGTGCTTTACATAACTATTGATTTCACAAAAAAATTGGTAATTACAGACTGCCAGGTTCTTCTTATCAGCAAAAGCACAAGTGTATGATGTATATTGCGAAATTTTGTAAAGTCTTATTTTTTCCATTTACCGAAATTCAACGACGATCGTCTTCGTGGAATTTGCAATGTGCATAAGAACATCCGAATCCGTTTTTCTTCCATAAAAAAACAAAATTCATGATTCGTATTACGATGATATCCGGAGTAAAAAAAATTACAATAGGTGCATCAAAAAGCGAAAGCGCACAAAGATAATATCAAATAAATCAACATCAGTACAATCCACAAATATATTATATATTTTGCAAATTGTTACTTAAAACACTGAGGGCCGATTGTTCCATGATCTTTTGGTTTATCTGTCAGGTAAGTAGCAAGATTACCCAATCACATGCGCGAATTGCCAGATTTACCTAACAGGTAAACTTTACCGAAAGATGGAACAATCGGCCCCCAATGTTTTATTTACTAACTAAAATAGTTTGTTTTTTACACATTTTCATTATTCTTATGAATTATCTTTAATGTCGGTTTAACTTTTTTAGTTCTCTCTAAGAATTAGAAAAAGATGAAGAACAAACCAAGATTAAAGTTAATCTACAATATCGTGGAATATACAGGTGTTTGGTGATTAAACAAATCTGCTATTAAACAAATGCTGTTCCTATTGCGTATCTAACTACTAAATGTCATTTTATTCAGTCGGCTAATGAACGTAACGGCTATAAACACATTAATACGCCGCGAGCGAGTTTGTTGTAGAAATTAACCCGTAACAATACATAGGTTAAATACCGAGATAATTGATGCGCCGAATAAGAGCCGGGTATCCCCACGGTTTGTGTTTACTGAATCGTCTGATGAAATTGATTAACATAACATCAGCATGTATTTCACGGACGAAGTGATACTGTGTATAATCCGGTTTCTCAAAATGAATGGCGATATCGATCGCGTTTTTCTAAAAATACATATTTATCTTCTAATAGATTTGCATTCACCGACAATGGATTTTCTTGGTTTTTTGTTGTTTTTTGCAACACTCAACTGGAATCAGTATAACCTTGCATTTATTGTATAACGTATAAACAAATAATTGTGTATTTTAAGTTCATTTACATTTTACTATTTGTCTATTTGACATGTGTTCTGCGAAAAATGCTTACAATTATTAACGAAGTTAATGCAAAAAGCTGATGATTTGATGACTAAGTCATTCTTACTGTGTGCAAGACAAAGCATGTATTAGCGATTGCAAAAACTTCTTGTCAGCTTATACATAATTTCTGTCTCGTGCTTGAATTACGAATGGAATGAATATAAATAAACTAAATAAAAGTTTGTTTATTAAGAATAAGAAAATATTTCGTGAAAATCATTTAAATATTATAAAATACCTTTCATCTCGTTTCGGCCGGGATGTTTTTTTTGTACTTTACCATTTGAATTATTTAAGGGTCGAGGAAATGGCTGTAATAATAAATCAAAGTGTTATATTCCAAGATGATCTCGTACACTCTGTGACACATCATAAATCTTGTCTATCATTTTTCTTCTGTATTCTGAGTTTTGTTTATGACTGTAAGAAAGCTACGCTCAAGTTACGCATCATCTTTCGTTAAGGTCGCTTCTGACGTCGAAAAACGATTCCAAATTTGCATGGCAGGTATTCTCGATTGAGTCTGGTAACTCCTTCTAACAGATTTACGATCTATACATCAGCATCTTTCAACATGTATTATCATCGCTTCTCTAAGCCAAAGAGAAATTCAAACTATGATCAGTTTCATGTAAAACGAGAACTTTGTGTTACATTTCTTAGAAAAGATCTCACTAAAAATATTAGTTATCTTAAAGTTACTTAAGGCCTGACCTGATTGCACCAACATTATTTGATTTTTAAGCTAGGCTTAAAACTGTCTCTCTCTGTCAATTTATCGATTTAAAAAAAAAACGGATTTTTAAGCGTCACTTAAAGTCAAACGTTGGTACAATCGGACCTAAGAAAATGATAGTTAAAAGTTAGCTGGTAAAATAATTTCGTGACTCATTCCGAGATTAGATTGCTGGACCGCACATTCCTCTGTTTCGTTTCTTTGGAATTCATGAGAGCAAAAGAGAGGGAAGGAATCCGGTAGGGACAGGAAAAAAGGCGACAAAAAAAACCGCATGTACTTGCATGCAGAAACGTATTCATATATAATTTTATCTTATATGTATGGGTGAAAGTAAATTTAATTTCGAAAATTTATCACAATGTTTCCGTAATCTGTGCGGTCTAAAATTCTCTTTTTACTGAATTGAAGCGTAAAACTTGTGAACTTTAATTCGTGCAAAATGGGATCGGATTAGGACATGTATTGTGGAATTATTCAGAATAGATTCCGATTGGATTTATTCACTTATTCCCCCCCTTTTCTATTATATTTTCTAAGAAAAACGGAATAATTCCGGTCGCAATCCATTCTAAATAATTTTGTAATACATGCCCTTTGTTTAATAACGAATTTT